AATTTCGAAATAATCGCAAACTAAATCCACATCATTTGCCAACAAAAAGGGACGTGAATTGTTTCTCCGGTGATCTTGGGCATTAAAATTTGCATTGAAATGTATTAATTAAAAAGTAATCATAATTTAAACAGAATTAAAAAGGATAATTTAGTTTTCAACGCAATATTATTCATTCTGAACATGTAATTAAATAACACAAGACATATAGGTATACATGAAACTGGTTTTTTTCGTAGTGCGGTATTTTAAAAAAAATTATGATAAACAATTTATATAAGAAAAAAAATAATTATTTTATTTTTCAAAAATGGTACTTTCATTTGTTCCAACGGTTGTCAAAGCTGACGTAAAAATAAAAGCGTAGTTATTATTTTAAAAATTTTATAATTTTCTAAAATTTAATAAACCAACAAAATTTTTTATTTATCTACAAAATGAATTGAAGTAGTTCAAAAATTTGAATTTTAATACAATTAGAAAAAAAATTCCATTTTAAAAAATTGAAACATTTTGAAAATTAGTAAATTTCATTTATTACATATTATGTGCTTCTATTCAATATTCAAAATTCAATAATTTTAAAAATTACACTTTTTCATATTCAATTAATTTCATACGCATTGTTTTTTTGAATTCAGTTATAAAGTTGCATATTTTTCCTGAAAAATCATATTATTTGAGAATTTTATTGACTTTTTGACTTCGGACTTTATTTTACTTTTTCACTTAATTTTGTGCATACGAGAAAGATATTTAATAATCATTAAAGATATAAAATTTGTCAGTCAAAAAGCATTTATAAATTAATTTTGTGATCAAAATTGGGATACGGCAAATTTCTTATTATTTTCTAATTACGTTCAAGAGAAGTACAAATAATTAATTGATTTTGAAAAATGATTGGATTCACAATAAAAATTTACAAAATTAATGAAAAAATATAAAATTGAATTGGAAAAAATTATAGAAAGTTGTTTAAGGTTAAAAAATTTAAATATCAAAAAAATTTTATTTTCTATGTGTTAATTTATTATTATTATTATTAATATTTATTAAATAATTTTAACACATAGAAAATAAAATTTTTTTGATATTTAAATTTTTTAACCTTAAACAACTTTCTATAATTTTTTCCAATTCAATTTTATATTTTTTCATTAATTTTGTAAATTTTTATTGTGAATCCAATCATTTTTCAAAATCAATTAATTATTTGTACTTCTCTTGAACGTAATTAGAAAATAATAAGAAATTGATGATGAAAATAAGAATGCGATTGAATTTACAGAATATTTAATTGAATGCAAAAAGAAATAGAATTTTAAATAATTAATTTTTAAAAAAAATTGAAAACATATAAGATGAACATGTCTTGTTGAAAAGCATAAAGTAACGGTCACTAGTCATGTCTTCCAAAAATACCAAAAATATAAATAATTTTGAAAAAATAAGTAATTGTTGTAATAAATTGTGAAAGCTACTTTTAGTGATACAACTTTTTTTTAATTTTATAAACACTTTGCTTTCTAATAGAGATGAAAATATTACGTACGGACTTCTAGAATCAAATAACATGTAAAAAAGTAAAAAGAAATCACAATCAAAAATTTGCACAAATAGGGGTAAGCGGTACAGCTGTTGCCCCCCTCACAGTGATTGCCACCATTACATTACAAACAGAAATAAAAACGAAAATATATAATATTTTGTTTTATTTATTTATATAAATTCTACAGAATATTCTGCTAATAGTGTAAAAAGATTTTTATTCTTCGACTCACTATTATGAAAATAATAGCGCTTTTCGAGAACAGTGTCCTTAGCTCTTAGAAATTTTTTCAATTTAGTTGTAAATTTGCAAGGTTAGTGGTGATACTTTCTTTGACTTTTTAACGAAAAAATTATACATATCATTATTATTTTTTAATTATATGCATGAAAATAAGTTTAATAATAAGTAAAAAAATTTGTTTTAACGTAATTTAACTCGATTTACCGAAAATTATAGAGAACAACTACTATCTTGCAATTAATAACAAATAACAGTCATTGCCCTCCCCGGGCAATGTTTACTTTTTGGTTATTATGTCATTTTTCAGTGATTAACCGTTTATTTTCAAGACTTTTTTGAGGTAAGTATTTTTCATTTTTGGACGTTTTTTCATATATGGTAAATTAATTTTTTAAAATAAAGATTTAATTAGAGCCGCAGCATGTATTAGAATGATTTGTAATATTTTATTAACAATTTTTTAATGGGTGTTTTCGGCGTGCCCACGGATCACTGATGGATCACGATTTGGATCACTCAGTGGTGCTCAGTGTACTTTTTGTAAAAATACGCAAACGTGCACACATGTGATGCAAGCTTTATGCATTCGTGCGAACTCGGTCAAATTCGGTTCGTTTCGTTTGTTTGTTTTGATTCTGACGGCATGACATGATAAAACCTGACGAAAACGTTTTGTCTTTGCGATTATTATCATTGTTAAGTGAAATTTGTTTATTTTATAATAAAAATGGATGATTTAATAAACGAAATTGAATTCGCTGTAGAGGAAAGTGGAGATGTAACTTTTTCGACAGTAGAAGAAGAAGAATTGTTATCCCAATGGCTAAAATCTGATCGTAAGTATATATACATGAGAGATTCTTTTTCAATCGCCCCAGCCCAAAAAGTCAATGTTCTGGGATTCGCTTCATACTTTGGTAAATTGTTCTCCTATATGATAGTAATAAATCCCTAAAATATAAACTCATTAAAAAAATATTTGTAGAAAATAGAGGGGGTTGAAGTTTTGACGTTAAGGGTAACATTGTCATTTTCAAATCCGTATAACTATGACAAAAGTTAATGGATTTTAATTTATCTATAATGAATTTTAATGCATTTTTCACGTACTTTTCAAAAATGTATACAAAATTAAAAAAAAAAATTTTTGACCCCTTTTTTTTCAAAATCATCCCTTATTTTTCATTTTACTTATTTAAAGTAGGCGGTGCCTACCTAAATCCTCGAAGATGATCTTTAGGTATACCAGTTATCGGCACCGCCTACATTAATATTCTGTTTCTCACAAAATTATTGTTGTCCTATTTTCATATTTACATAGCTCATGGGAAAAAACCTTAGCTTTCCAATGAAAATAAAAAAAAAAAAAAAAAAATACCCGAAGGGGTGAAAATCGAAAAATAAGGGTTGATTTTGAAAAAAAAGGGGTCAAAAATTTTTTTTTCAAATTTTGTATACATTTTTGAAAAGTACGTGAAAAATGCATTAAAATTCATTATAGATAAATTAAAATCCATTAACTTTTGTCATAGTTATACGGATTTGAAAATGACAATGTTACCCTTAACGTCAAAACTTCAACCCCCTCTACTTTCTACAAATATTTTTTTAATGAGTTTATATTTTAGGGATTTATTACTATCATATAGGAGAACAATTTACCAAAGTATGAAGCCAATCCCAGAACATTGACTTTTTGGGCTGGGGCGATTGAAAAAGAATCTCTCACATATAAATATATATAATTATCCGTCAACAAAAATGATTGTCTTTTTTTGTCCTGAAAATTATTTTTAAAAAATAAAGAACTGAAATTAAAATTATTCTGCATGCTTTAACAATTTGCGGAAGGTTTTAGAAATTCCCGAATCTTTTTGCAAATTCCCGGCCAAACTAAATTCTCGGTTTTCCTGGATTTCCCTGGTCGCTGGACACCCCTTAATTCAATTAATCTTTCAATGCAATTAATTAAGAATTAGAGAAAAAATTTAAAGTTTAAAAGAACAAATTAAAATTTTTAAAATAAAATTTCCTTTTAATAAAAATAGGTAAATATAGAAGAAAAATTTAAAAAAATAATAGAAGACAGGAATTTCACAATTGTAATATATTTTTTTCAGTGATATTTAGATTCAATTCCAAATTTTCACATAGACTGTAGGTTTCTTTTAAACGTCACTTCCTAACGTCACATTTACTTATAAATAATTTTCTAACTTTTTGAACTTTTCTGTTAGAATCAACAGGGAAGAGAAACACCAAACCCGATCAGCCAAAGGGAATACAATTTCCTTCTCCCGACTTTCCGTCGCCAAAATCTTTATTAATTGAGGGAAAAGAGAACATCGACCCAGGTGAATATTTATTTGGAGGCTTTTCACTTGAATTTCTACTGAGTTCTATAAATTTCTGTTTTATTAATCATAACATTCTACAATTTTTTTACTATTTACTTATAATTAATGTAATTTAAAAAATTTTACTTTTAGAATCGATAAAGAAGAAAAAAAACATTACACCCGTGCCAAGGACCTATACGCAAAAAATATATTCTGGACTTTCATATTTAAAACCCGGAAAATCAAAATGTGTTTTATTCAATGCCAAAACCCGATGAACTGGTGGCAGTACAATCTTATGATGATTTCTTTTCACCAAAATCTTCTTTGATTACATCAGCACAATCTTCTTCTCACGACTGTTCTTCAGCAAAATTTTCATTAATTAAAGGAAAACAGAATGTCAATAAGTCTGGTTACTAAATATTTATTTGGAGTCAATTCACTTATATTCTTGAGTCGGGCGATCGAATATTTGTAGAAGAAAACTTGAAATTCTACTGAGTTCTAGAAATTTGTTTTATGCAACTCAGGCGTATTGTGGTTACTTTACCTACCTGTACAGGCGCATACTAAGTTCCTCCTTATAGCCCAGCGGTCAATAAAGTGCCTATTATTACCCTAGGGCAATAATGTTCACTTTACTGACCTCCTGGTCCATATGGAGAAACATAGCATGCGCCTGCACAGGTAGCGTAGAGTGACCACAATACGTCTGAGTTGCAAAAAGTATCGTATGTACCATGTGTCATAGGCGCATAATATAATATTTATTAATCATAACATTTTACAAATTTTTACTATTTACTTATAAATAATGTAATTTAAAAAATTTTACTTTTAGAATCGAAAAAGAAGAAAAAAAACATTTCACCCGTGCCAAGGACCAATACACAAAAAAGTTATTATGGACTTCCATATTTAAACCCAGAAAAACAAAATGTTTTTTATTCAATGCCGAAACCCGATGAAGTGGCGGCAGCAACATCTTTTGATGATGATTTTTCGTCACCAAATTCGTCTTTAATTCAATCAGCACAATCTTCTTCTCATGACTGTCCTTCAGCAAAATCTTCATCAATTAAAGGAAAACAGAAAGTCAAGTCGGGTAAATGTTTATTTAATGTCGCCTATTTTCCGTAAAAGTGCCCTTTTTACTTTTGGTCCCTAAAATTACCCTATTTGGACAATTTTCCCTAAGTGTCTATTTTTCCAAATGTTAATCAATTTTAATTTTTATTAAAGAAAACATTCACTGATAAAAATTTTAATCAATAATCCAAATTTATTTAAAAAAAATTTTAAACGATAAAAATTCAAGCATTTTAAATTTTAGTGAATTTAAAATTCAATTATTCCAAATTGAAATAAATTTCAGTTTTTTGTAAATAATTGAATTTTAATAAAATTGAACTTGTAATTTTTGTAAATTTGAATTGCCGAAGATTTTTTGTACATATTTCACACAAAAATTGAATTTTAGAGTATTTTTAAATAATTCAAAGTTTTTTAAAGAATTAAATTTTCGAAGAACTTACTGTAATTATTGAAAATAGTTTTTGTTGAAAATTAAAAAAATTATTGTATTTTGGAAGAGCTACAGTTAAGATTTTATTAAATAATTGAATTTCAAGAGAAAGAATATTTAAAAAAAATATTTTTTAGGATCACTATAAAGCCTGAATTTTACATTCATGCTTTCTTGTTGGGAATTCTAATTTAATTTTAATATTTTACATGTTTTTAGCAAGCAAACTATGTAGCTGGAAGGATGATGATGAGGTGCTTCTTCTCATTAAAACGTTTCATGATTTTACTAAATCAAGAAATAAAATAATTTTGGGAATGGCATTTTGGAAGAAAGTCCAATCGGAAATGTTTGCCAAATCAGGATGCACGAAGACTGCAAAGCAGTGCGAATCAAAGTGGAAACAATTAACTAGATCATACAAACAAAATTTATTTTAAAAAAACCAAACTGGTGAGGAGCCAATAACTTGGGAATTCTTTGATTATATGCACGAGATTATGTTTGAGAAACCGGAAATTAACCCTCCAGCTTTAGCTTCAAACATTGAGGGTTACAGAAGAAGAATTATAGAAATAGTTAAAAAACTTCTAAAAAAACAGTCACGACAAACAAACTGAGGAGGAAATCGTGGAAGAGGAGAAGGAAGGGGAAGAAGAAGAAGAGGAGGAGGATGAGGAGGAGGAAGAGGAGAAGAAAGAGGACGAATTCGAAGAAGAAAAAGTATTAAAAGAAAAAAGAAAAGTTTTTAAACAAGATATTAAAAAAAAACGCCATAATTACAAGAAATCTTCTTTCGATTTACACAGAGAAGAGGCAAAAATTCGACATAAAGAGAATTTAGAAAGAAAGGACAAACTTTTGTTCTTAATGGGACAATTTCTTAAAAAGAAAAATAAAGGAAAGAAAAGAAAGTAGACGGTCGTTCATTACGATTGTCTTCATCATGTTTTCTTATTCTTTATTCGTTTTTTTAAAGAGAATTTCAAACAGTATTATACTTTTTATTAACTGGCACGAGTGACCGTGTTTGTTAAACTGCGGTTTTTTTATAACTTTCTATGTAATGACTATGATTTAATATATATTTTATTATTATACTTTAAACACGATTACGATTTTGATAAAAATTTATCTGTTAAATTTCATAATTTTGTTTGTAAACATTGTTTCTGCATACTACTGCCAATGAAAATGTGCAATATTGGCAGTCTTCATATGTACATACCTACCAAAGAAAAAGTTTATTTTATTAGAAAAATATAGATACATATGACAAAAAGGATTTTTTCTTAATCTTAATATTTTTCAATTTCATCAATTTTTTTTATCCTACCGTCATTCCTGACTTAAAAAAAATCATTTACTTTTAATCTTTTAATTTCTATTTTTTACCAACAGTCCATCGGCATTCACTAAATATAAGCAAAAATTTATAATTTCGAATTAAAAAATTAAGATAAATATCACAGTCCATGGCTAACATAAGATTATATTTATTGCTGTTTCTAAATCAAAACATAGTAATGCACTAAGATTAATGCTAATGAATTAAACAACTGAATGTAGTTACAAAATTTTAAATATTTAATTAAAAATAAAAATTTTATAGAAATTATCAAAATAATCCCTTTTTTTATGCTTAAATTTTAAAATAGTAATTGTTTTAAATTAGAAAAAATTGAATTAAAATTTTTAAGAAACCTAATTTTATTAAAAAACCTATTTGAATAAAATTCTTCGAAATTTTAATTATTTTTGAAATTTTGAATTTTAAATATTTTTTCAAATTTAACTAATGTCAAAAATCATTCAAAATTCAATTATTTTTAGATGCAATTTGCATTTTTTGATAACGCTCTTAATCCTAAACAATAGATGAATATCGCTTTAATTGTTGCTTTTCGAAAAAATTCACTTATTTAGCAATTTTTGAATAAACATTTTTCTAAAATTTGATTTATTTTCAAAAACTTTAATAAAATTCATTGAAAATTTCAATTATTTACATTAAAATTTTACAAATTTTCAATTATAGAAAAATTTTTCAATTTCATATTTTCAAAAATTCAACTGTCTTAAAATAATTTTAATTGAAATTTTTCAAGAACATATTTTTTCAGAATTTTAAGTAATAACTTATTCAAAACTTGAATAATTTTTAAAAATAAATATTTAATTATTATATACCTTGTAACGGGAATTTAATCCTCGATACTTTGATTTTATGAGTTCCCCGACGGATGGTCGCGAACAACTCAGAGACCCGATTCAATGGTTCCAAAAAAAAAATATTATAGTTTTTAGATTTAATTATTTTTGTTGTTTAATTTATTTTTAATGTGGATGCTGAGGATAACCGTCGAAGATCGCCGTTGGATTGCTGGTCAACTTGGTTTCTCTATCTTCACCTCAATCCCTGTGGATTGCTATAAAATGTCAAACTTTGCCGTGAGGAATATTCAAAAGTACGAGTTACGAGATTTAAATTTTGCCTCCTTTTGTCGTCTGCTGCGCCAACCTCAATTTATATTATGAATCAAAAACCGAGACATATGATGGATGTTCCGGATAAATCTATTCAAAATACGTCGCTGAAAATGTATTTATTGACAAAATAATAAATACAATTTGATTTATACAAAAATTGAGAAGACTTCTTCGTCATTTCCTGTCCATTGACCGGAGACTCTATTGCAAAGGCCCTGAACTCAACTCCGCTTGTTGCTCGATCCTAGGTGGTGGTTCCGTTCTTTGGTGAATCAACCTAGTGGAATCTAGTCTCGTTGGAAGAGTCTTGAGAGATAAGGCAAGAAGAAACATCATAATTTCGATTAATTGGATATTATCTAATTACGACGACAATTGGTAACCTGGGCCCCCCCTTTTTTTAACTTGATACTTCACTGAACCACATTTTCACCGGCGAGTGAGACCTAACCTGCAAGACAAAATAGGAGAGGAAAAGAGGAGAAATATTGCCTGCCTAGACCACGTTTTCGCCGAGGATCTTTCTCTTGCTGCGACCACCGTCGAGGGAAGTCATTTTTGAAGAATAATTATCTTTTACCCTAAGTGACAAATTATAGTGTAGTGCATCCAAGCTGTATTTATCAGGTGAGCCTTTTGTTTTCAGCAATGATTCTGTGTACATTTAATTGTTATAGCGAGCTACACGAGACAATTTCTTTTGCTGTATGAAATAATGTTTTGCTGATTAGAGAAAATTATTATTGTCGAGATTAGCTTGCTGTAATAATAATTGGCCATGAGCCCTGATATTTACATTCAATGTTGATTTTATTTTGCGGTATCCTTTATTTTTTTTTGATTTTTCCCTTTTTGTGAGTTTATCCCAATTTTGCGAAAATATGTTGTGAATTATTGTTAATCGGTCTCTGAGTTGGCAAGAGCCTCTAATTATAATAATTAGAGTAAATAAGTTAACCTTATTTTGTAGTTTTTATATTAATTTTGTTGTTTTTCTTCGATTTGACTAATTGTGTTATTTTGAGTGATCTTATTTTGTATGCAACTTGCACAGGTATCCATTTTGCGTTTTCCCATAAAATTTATTAATTTGTTTTTCTTCCTTTTTTTTGAGAATTGTGTTCATTAGGTATCCTAAATTTTGTGTATTTTCCCTTATTATTGAAGATTGTTAACCCCGATTAAATTTTTTGAGAATTTAATTATTTGTTAAATTAGATTTAAGGTTACTTTTGAATAAATTATGTCGAATTATTTAAAATAATGCTTTGTTGATTTATGATGAACCTCCCCACTCTCCGTCTAATAAACTTGTAAATGAGCTAGTACGGAATAGCCGGGAAAAATTATTCTTTTTCTTGCTCTAAATTAAAATTTAGTTTTTATTTTTCTGTTGATGTTGAAATTGAGATTTTATCATTTTCCAATTTTTTTTGTTTTACTGAAGGTGTCCCAAGCAAGGACTGGCGCCCACCCGATTTTGTTATTTTAATTTGGGTAAAGTTAGAAAAAGGAAACCCGTATAGTAACTAATAAATTATTTTATAATTTATCACGTTACAACCTACCTATTATTTATTTTTCTATAGCAATTAAAATTTTCAAAAAATACTCTTACAAAATACAATTATTTAAAAAAGTTTTAACTAAAAATTTCGCTAAAACTCTGTGGCAACCCTGTTTTAATTAAAAAATGTACTTAAATTCATTAATTTTTAATTGAAATTTTTTTTATATAAAAGATAATTATTTTGAAACAGTTTTTATAGTTTACAAAACGATTCTATCGTCGGGAATTGTGCGACCTCTACTTTTGTAATGACTATATGTATAAGACAGCCTATATCTTAAAAAATATTGAAAGTACTTAAAATTTTTTCATTTTTTTTTTCAAAAAGCTATTAAAATTCTAAGAAAATGGCACCTTGGCGAAGATAATACACATATAACAAATTTAAAAATTAATATAGAAAATATTTTTTAAGAGTAAATCGGGGCAAAACCTGTCACACGCGCTTGCGCGCTTGTAATTTTGTCAGTTTAATAACAATTATGTTTAAATGTTATAATTCTAAAAATAATAAGCAAAATTAATGCATTTAGATGTTTTATTTTGGACAATCAGTAAAATAATAAAGATGACAATATTACAGTAATGAATTGTTAAAAAAATATTATCGATCGAAAAATTAAAAATATTACATTATTTGACATTAACACTAAAAATTGTTAAAAAATAATGCTTGGATTTAAAGGGCATTATAGTCAGGATTATTTTAAATTAAAATACAATTATAATAATTTCGAGAATAATTTTTAATACAAAAGTATAACCCACCAATAAAAGTTTTGATATCATCGTTGCTGTTGTCATCTTTTTGAAGTTTAATAAACAAATTTTTAACCTAGTTCATTTTAACCTGTTTTTTATATTATTGTTAATTGTTATTTAATTGAGAAAAACCAATTGCAAGACACAATTTTGTGTAATTATTATTAAAAATTATTATTTTATTGTTTTATTTAATATATTTTATGGTGTATCAACTAAAAAACTGATAGCACTTATTCTCGAATCATTACCTCGAATATTGGAGCTACTCTCATAAAATATGGAACCAGATACCGATGATTTGCTTTTAAAAAATATAAAATATGTTTTTTAACAAATATATTTATATAGAAACTTAATATATTTCTTCTACAATGATATTATAATAATTTAATACAAGAAAAGTAATTGGAAATACATTTAATTTGTATTGTTAAAATTAAACTTTCGTCAATTTAAAGTATATGAAGAAAATATCGAATTGAGTAAATTTGACAGCAGTGAATTTTCATTATAAGAGAATATTTGTTTTAGTATCGTCGATATGAAATTTGATTGGTGCACCATCGGTAACTGGTGCAATTACCCTACTTACATTCTTAATTTATTTATCAAATATTTGAAATAGCATTAGTTAATAAATAAATTAATTAATATATTATATTATTTTAAAATCTCAGAATTTTGCATTCTTTTCATTCTAATCCTTACAATTTTATACCTAGTCAACTGAAAGGATTAGGAATTATTAATACACTTCAAAGATTTCATTCCTATCAATACGCTCCTCAAAATCTCACGCAGTCGATTGCAAGGAATACAAATTTTAAATTTACTTTCATAATTTCCCATTTCTCTGAATACGCTTCTAAAAATCAGACTCTGTCAATTGACAAAAATACAGATATCTAATTTACTCTCCATATTTTTTATTCCTTTCAATGTGCATCTAAATTTTGACGCTGTCGATTAAAAGGAATAGACATTTCTAGTGTACTCTTCAAACATTTCATTTTTTTAAATTCGCTCCCTACAGCCGCATTTAGTCTATTGAAAGGAATAGACATTTCTAATTTCTTTCAATTCGCTTCTAAAAATCGTCGCTGTCGATTCAAAAGAATAGAACTAAAACTTAGCGCATTCAGAAAAATAAGAAGTTTGAATTCTTTTCTATTGCCTTTTTTCTGT